ATTCTATCTTGAACCCAGTAATTTTTGTCATCTTTGGCATCTTGGATGCGAAGTTAAAAAAAAAAGTTAATTGCGTAATTTCTTTAAGTAGATATTGACAAACTTGTGAGGAAAGATCATATATGACGTAGCATTTTAGGGTGACCAGCTATGTGAAAAGATACTCTAAAAGAAGAAGGGAGTCCAAAGATGGTGATTCCTCGAACGTAGACAAACATTTAACGTTTGTTTACGTTGAATGAAGCACCAGCTTTGGTCCTCCGAGTCTAGATCATCGGACTGTGAAGTCCACAACTTTTTCGAATTTTTGACGTAGGATTACATCTTTCGGCAACATATTGGGGGTGTAATTTAAAAAAACCAAAATCAACCGCGTTACGAAAAGTGGTCAGGTTTTGACCACTTATAACTCTGTCAATAGCGGATGGATATGCATTCTAAACAAGCCAATCGATTGGAATTTCATCTACGAATCTGCTAAAATGAACTTTTTTATCAATTTTCAAAAGATCACTATTGAAAATTGCATGAATGTTGCAATAATAATGAAAATTATTACCGATTGACTGCGAAAAACGCTTTCCCTAACACAGATTTAAAAATCGAATCCGGTCTCACCGAACGTGGTGACTGGTGGTGTCCAGTGGTCATCATCAGCAGCAACAGCATTGCTTTCGGCGCATGGCGTTGTAGATTGCTCTCCAGTACACGACAAAAGGCTGCCCGCAAGCGCGAGCTGCAGCCCACTGAGCGGTCCATTCGCCGAAGAATGAGGAAGAAGTTGCACCGCTACTGATCGGTTTTCAGTTGCTCGTCATGAGCCGTTGTTGGCCATCTATGCCAAGCGCGTCACTATTCCATATAACATACAGCTCGCCTGCCTTATCTGTGTTGAACACCTTAATAGCTCAGCATTACTCAACCATCACGACAAAACAGTCATTTTCAGGACCACCATAAATTTATTAAAGAGTATTTTCTGGACACTTCTCGCGTTACATTTCAAAAAGAACAATCTGCATTGATCAATTCTCTTCATCGACTCTCTCTCTTTCGTAAATAACTCGGCTTCAAAAACATGTTCAGCTGTTATTATCGTCTAATACGCTTAGTAATAGTTTCTTTTAATAGACTATGAAGAAAAATTAGCCCAACATTTAAATGCAGCCAAGTTATCAACGAAAGAGAGAGTCGATGAAGAGAATCGATCAATGTATATTGGTCTATTTGAAAAGTGATGCGAGACTTGTCAAGGTAATCAATCAGATATTAGTTCCCATAAGTATAAATCTAACATACCATGTATTTTTAAGGCAACAGTGGGGGGGAAATTTCAAAAACCAATGTCCGTCATGGTATGAAAGTGGTCTGATTTTGATCCAGAGATGATGGATTTTAATTCTTAATACGCCAATCGATACTTTTCTTACTTTTTTAACCTCTTCCCCCACTTGCTTCACGCGTTTTCCGTATTGTTCGGACTAGCGCTGAACATAATAGTGCTATTGTGCATTTGGATAAAAATTATGTGTATGCCGCTGATAAATTGATTTCCGACGGGTGGCATTGCTAAAGAACTGTCGAAAGTTCTAACAATAACAACACAGTCATCCCGTAAAAGTCGAAAGTAAGGTTAGATGTAGGTTCGAATGTCAGAAGTCAGACTTCCGAGCTTTGTTTAATTGCTGTCAAATTATGTGCAGATAAAAGCCTATTGTGATCGATAGATGCGCTTTTATTCCACTATTTGCTTTAATCTGAGTAATTTTCTTATTAAATGCTTTATAAACGTTGACTGTCATTCTGATTCGATAGCTGATGCTTGATCTAGTAACAAACTGAACACGTGTAATCAAGCATGGGAAAATTCATTCACTCGCGCGAGCACCACAGAATCAAAATAGCCATCCTCACCTACAAACAGATTGCCGAACGAGTGTAAATTCTTCCAACCAAGTGACTCAGCATCTCGACTCAGAACTGACAGCAGTAGAAGGAAAGAAGCACAGGAGTGGAATTTCGGATCAGAAAGTGGCTCCACTTATCATTTATGAACACTAGCGCACCTAGCGGTAGAAGGCATCTTCTTGCTGCAGTTAAGATAGGAAGCATGCTATGATAGTGGGAGTGCACATAGAAAGCCCGTGTGGAACGCTAACACAACACATCGCTTGTTGAGCAGAAAAACGAACCACTTTTTGATTCACCGATTTGTTTTCAGTTCCCCTTCTGTTCTGTGCCAATATGCTAGGTTAGCTCAGATGGCAAGGCAAGCGGTTGGTACACACCCAATTTTTGTTGCCGTAAACCAGCAAAATTTTGCTGGATTTTGCCGAGCTGGAAGTTCAGCAATCCGTCCAGCAAAATAATTTCGCTGGATGACCAGTAAAATGGCCTGTCAATAAAGTGACAGCATATTGCTGAAAAACCAGCAGAATTAGGAGGAGCAATTATTTTACAGCGGGAAGGATGATTTTTTTATGGTTTGGAATTCAAGGTGTGCTACACTGCCGTTATACGCATAAGAGTCCCACGGTGCATAAGGATTGCATAGAACATGGGACAGTTATGCGTAGAACGGCAGTACAATCATTCAAAATATCTTTATTTATTCTAAGCTAGTTATGTTTGGTATCATGTAAGTATTTGATACACCAATTCTGTTAGTAGTTTCTATAAAATATGTAAACGCATCCCTGATCCAGTCATGTTGCGATTTTGTTTCGAGCTGCAAGATAAGTGAAAAAAAAATATTTTATTTGGTTAAACGTTAAAAATGTTACACTTACTTGTTGGTGAATCAGAAAACATCATTTTCATGAGAAAAATAATGCTAGAATGTAGCAAATTTACTGCAAATATTGTAGTCAGCAATCAACCATTCTATGGGAGAATTTGAGTTTTCAAGCACTGACGTTTCATTTGACAGATTGAATACAATTTACTGAGTATCCAGCAAATTATTTCATATTGCTGGATGGTCGGTGAAATTTTGGTTTTGCTGGAACCAGTTCAGCAATTAATTTTGCTGGACCTAGAATCTAAATTTTGGTGTATACGCTATTCGATTCCCGTGCACCGACAAAGATAAATCTACTAATATACATTATCAGTGTGTGCGTGTTCTTCTTCGTCATTTTAACAAAAAGAACACAATCATTAAAGAAAAAACCTGCTCCACCTCTTAATTCCAGATTAATTTGTAGGTAGTTTGATAAATGAAGTACAGTATCACATTAACTGCTACTTCACATAAGAATCAAGCATCACCGTTTAAGTAAACAATGTATACGTTAAGTAATGTAAAATTTGATCGAATAAGCTTTGTTACATTGTGGTGTAGTCGAATTAATATATCTCGATATACCTTACACTATAGTTGCTATATTCATAGTCTGGCGGCTAAAATTTCGGGAACCAATTGAGCTGTCAAATAGCAAATCACGACCAGCTACAGAAAAGAGTACATCAGCTATTGCGAGCAAAACTTCGGAAACCCTTTTCTCGTGACTCAAGGCTGGCCTACGCAAACTAACACCATCTTTGGGTTGGGACAAGTTTCCCCTATCCGGTGATGCTGGTAATTTGCGTTCGATTAGTGAGTTAAGAATAATCAACGTTGTGTTTATAAAAGATGATAGTACCTTATCAATTGTTGGTCCGCTTTTTTGATGGAATTGGTTCCGCTTTTTGATGGATCGAAATTCTATCTGCCAGACTATAAATATAGCGACTATACCTTACACAACACCAAGCAGTTAAATGCTGTGGTTGATTAAATTCTCCAGATTTGTGTGAACAAAGCCTGAACAGAAGTCTTTATTGAAAATAGTACCAGTATTATTCAGCATGCCGTGATATGAAATCATTAAAGCCGTTTCTTCAACATGTAATTGTTAGTTGGGTATTCAGTGTTTACATATACATATTTGATGATAATCGACCTTTTCTCAGCCAACAAGTGGCCAGCAAAATCTTTGGGTGACATTTATCATGTCAAACTTAAGACTCAATATTCGGTCAAATACTATGGCCTACGAGTATTCGGTGCTGCGCTAGTTAGGATACTACAGTATTACATCTTGAAACCTATAATGATTAAATGTTATGAACGTTTTAATTCTCAAAATTTGAAATCGTTATTGAGGATATTGAATATTTAATACTAAAATAATTCATTAAAATGAAGAATTTTCCACTCTTGACGTAGCATCATTTTACTGTCGTTTGAAAGAAATTAAACAATTTTAAATAATAAGCATTGAAATTAACATGTAGGGTAATATGGGGTTAGATACACCCCTGGGGCAAGATGACTTTTTGCTAATTTTGAATATATTTTCAATATATTTTCATGGATTTATCATATAGTATTTCTAGTTCAGACATTGAGACATGTTCTTTGAAAGATCTCCGAAAAGAGGTTAAAAAGGTATTTTTAACGCCAAAAAGTCATCTTGCCCCGGGGGTTAAAACATAAAGTAGTTGTCATCTAATGTTTGACTCTAAATCTAAGTAATAAAACAAAAAAATATCTCGCTATTACTGAGAGTGTTTAATCCATTGCCGGGCACTGTACAGTCTTGAACTAGCATTTATCTTTTGCCTCCTGTTGTTTACTTTTCTCCTGGTCTTTCTGTTTTAGAAACCAAAATGTTTTTACGGGCTCTCCTTCTCAATGTTCATACGCATAACTCTTCCGAACACGCACATGTAGGAAAATAACTAGCTTCTCTTATAAAAACAGCCGCCGCCGCTCCACCAACCAATAATATGTTGCTATCTGGACCGTGATAATTTATAAATATTTATATTGCGCTTTTTTCGATTCTACTTTTCCCTCTCTCCCTCATTTCGCTTTCTGTGGCTGTAAATGCATTTCCAAAGATTTTAATTACACATCTCCACTTTTTTTCTTTTTCTCTTCGCCTCGTGATCCACGCGTGCGACCGCGTTTGCGTTTGCCTGATCCTGATTTCTCCAACCCGTGGCCGATCCAGATCTTCCGACACCGAAGACTATATGCCATTGAACGCAACCATCACGGTACAGTCGGGACCGGAACCGCCAAAGCCACCTCCACCTCCACCCGCGCCGCCGATGCTTTTCCCACTCAACGGCGGCACTATCAACAAAAATAATTCCAACACCAATAAAGACGGCAGTCAGACCGGAACGAACAAAAGCAGCAACGGCAGCATTCCACCGCCACCCCCACCGCAGGGGACGATACGAAAGCAACAACAGCCACTGTCGGCTATTTCGATTCAAGACTTGAACAGTGTGCAGGTAAGTCTTTGGTTCTTGATGCAGTATGAACTATTATCCCTCTATCATGATTTATACCCGTTACACGGTCCTATCAACTGGGACAAACTTGTTTTGAGGCTAGATATTGGTTTCTCTGTTAAGGCATGGATCGCAAACATCGTATGCTCTCTGTGCATTGTACTCCTTTAATCTAGAACCGCATTCGACGTACTGAATTAAAGGGGTATAACGATACTAATTGGTATATCTGTCATAAGTATTAAGGACCATTTTTACTTGATAATTAGTGTTTACAACACAACTGGCAATACAACACTAATAATACAGTCCGAAAAAATGAATCCTAATAAACCGAAACGTCAGGTGACGATAACCAGACTTACATAAGTTGTGAGGAGCAAAATATTTTATAAAATATTATCGGCACAGTTGAAACTCTAAATAACCCACTAGAGACAACCGATTTTACTCGCAAAAAACCAACTTCTCTGTGGTTCAACGTACAGAACTCGATTTTGGCTAGTAGGTTATTCCGGTTATCAACTGTCCCTATAATATATTCAATTATTTTTCGCGATATTTGATTCGGTTTGCAGCCGAGTCAAGCATCAAAAATAAAACAAATAAATTTAAACTACCGTAAAATCAATGAACGATCAGTATGTGTATGTGATGGGACCTGTCTGTTTGTTTGTGGTTATACTAATAGACTAGGGAAAACGACGATGCAATCAAATGAAAAGTAGGAGAAATGGATGTAATGTCGGCCCAAATGACCCTAATTTGGGCCCATGCATAAATTCAGCAATCGACTAATTTTTCAATAGCATTAGCATTAGCATCGAACAAGTTGTACAATATCGTAGATGGTACGAATTCAAAACTATTAAGAGCAAGACGGATATCTATTACTGGACAGATAGTAAGTAGGAAATCATTACTATCTCCCAGATAAAGACATATCCCGCTCCAACAGTTAAGGATTGTCCTGGCCACGTCCTTACAACTGGTAGGGATAGGAAAGGTATGTTAGTCCAACATTTACTTAAGAGAGATGCAGAGAACTCTCGGGAATTTAGGAATTATGTTAGTAGGGAAGGTAAGCCATAGGACACACCCAGTCAGTGTTGCTGGCATATGTAGTTTTTTTTTTTAAATGTTGAAATTGCTGTCCAGATCGTCTGCTGGAAGATAAGGTTGCTCTTCTCCTATAGGCCCTGTAGCAATCGACTAATTTTTCAATAGCGACCAAAAATATCCATTAGTACGGTCCCAATGATGCGTTCATCTAGATAAAATTGATAAATAGCAAATTTTTAACGATGGGCCCAATCTTAGATCCATAGGCCAATGTTAGAGCCATTTCCCCTATGATTATAGGTATATATCACTTTGAAAACTTACATTTCTCGATCAACAATGAAAAGGGCCTAGCAGCTTTTGTAAATAAAACGTTGTGAGCCCTTTCCTCACAAACCGAAAGCCGCCCATGCAAACCAATGATATCATCGTGTACGCAACAGATAAGTTCGCCGGAGTCTTCAACTCACTCTGCCGTGGTCCACAACCGGAGCAACGGAAGATGCCGACATCACGACGACGACCGGGTGATTCGTTTCCCAAACACACTTTGGTCGCTGTTGTTGCTGCTGCCGCCTCTGACGGGTACTTTTGCTCGGCGAATTGTATGGGCTGGCGGCGCCACCAACGCAACTGCTGCTACTGAACGTATCGTGCTGATGTCTTCCTTCCGGTCGTCAGCAGCACCACCACCACCAGCATCCTCATCCTTATCGTCAGCAGCACCATCCAACACCATCAGCAGTATCTCACTATCTTCTGTATCACAATTCTAGATAAAGCTGGGATTAGGGTGTAACAGCTTTTGTAAACAATTACTTCTCTCCATGATTTCTAGGATTTCAAGGCACGCCCATGCAAACGAACATAACCATCGGGTAAGGGAACTCTTGGGCGAGCCTTGATTTTCTAAAAATCATCGAGAGAAGTCATTGTTTACAAAAGCTGTTACGCCCTATCCAACCCTATCTAGAATTGGCTTCCAGTAGTAATAATGCTCCTGTTGTTGATTGTTGGCCAATCCGATCGCTATCGACCAGAATGATGCACGTTCTGTTCGGTACCCTCAGATGCAGACTAGTGAGACCGGTAGAAAGAATATTCATCTCTCTGCCGAAGAGACCAATCTAGAAAAATATCATCGTCCAGCATCTCGTCGAGATCCATGAACGAACCATCCATGTGGACTGCTCATCGTCATCTTCACCATCGACATTATCCACCATCGAAAGGCCGTGCGGCGACGTAGACAGTCCCGTCTGGATGGACCAGATGTTCGCTTCTACGTAGCACTTCTATATATTGTTTTCGTACGGATCGCAGGATACGATTTTGGAAAAAATTGAACTGCGATGATTTGTAACTCCAGTAGCTCCTGGATGGTGATTCGGGTTATGGGATTCTTTTCCAACAGCGAAAGCAACACGTACTCAAATTCTTCGTTGATTTCAGTTAAATGACCAGTTCGGATTGCAGGACTTCCACAACGTCTACGAATGGGTTCCGGCAGAACATCAACACGTAAAATGTCACACCGAGAGCCCACATTTCCAGTTCCTGTCCGGAGTAGCGGTTGCCTACCAACACTTCCGGACTGCAATATTCGGTCTTACCATAGAAGGTAGAAAAAAGTTGCCCTTCCCGTCGCCGATCCGAAGTCAATCAGCTTGATGTGTAAATTGTGATCGATGATAACGTTCTCGTCTTTGATTTCTCGATTCAAAAATATCAACGAGTGCAGGAAAGCAACCGCATTAGCAATCTATCGAGAGACCCAACAACCCAGCTTCTTCGTCATCACGGGTCACTATCCATAAACTCCAACAGATCTATCCCGGACCCGTGGATTTCCATCACAACCAGGAAGAACTTGTCGTTCTCGAACCAATTAAACATGTTGACAATGTTCGGATGCTTCACGTGCGTCAACAGATACACTTCATCAGTTCATCATCAGCAACCTATCCGAGTTTCGGTAGCTCAGCTTCACTTGCTATACTCTCCGTGGATGAAATCTTCATCTCACTGTTACATACGAAAGACGGAACTGCGATCCGAGTACTGCGCAGCAGCTGTATTCTTGATGGCCTGCCTAAGCGAATTGTCCACCGCACTGGTCACGCTTTTGAACGTCAACGTCAGATTCTGATGCTTACCTTCATGAATCCGAATCCCGGCTTACCCAGATGCAGTAAACCTTCCTCCCTCAGGGATGCGTCTGATTCGAAATGGTGTACAGTATGTCGATCACATCGCCATCGTAGTGAATCGCTTCTCCGACGTACTTCTCATCCGAATAGATCGACCTACGTGGTCCACACGGAATCTGAAGCATCCCAACGGCCGAATGTCGTTTCTGTTGATCTGGCGTTAACGTGACCATTGTATGACTTGACATGTCAAAACAAAACATTTGAACTGCCAAAATTCCTAGGGGGACGACTCTACCTACGATGCAGGAAAGATTTTGTTTTGGTGTGGCTAGCTGCGCGCACGCTGAGTAGATAGAAGGAAGATTGACGATTCTAAAGATTTACTGCAAAAAGATGATGCGCGATGCAACTAGATGCGAGAAATGAAAGAAGAATTTTCGTAGATTGATTACCTAGTGTGATAGGGTAGAGCGCTACTTCGTCGTAATCGCCCATTTCCGTTCTATCGATCAGAAAAGATCAATAATATCAATGATTTCACCGTGCACAAATCAATAATAGGTTTGTTCCGATGCGTTAGTTCATTAGCTACAACATGAAACCTGGTAGATCGCATTGTATGAATATTTACGCTCATTGTTCTCAAAACAAAAGAAGCGCACCTAGTGAACCCCCTTTTTCTACGTTTATCCGTAGGACGAAGAAAATCTAATGGCGTTTCAATGCGTTAGGACGGAATTGAAACTCGTATAACGAATTTAGAATCAAGAAGCAGTATTAGATTTTAAACAATATCTCAACAATTTGTGGCTCATTATCAAATATAACGGTACGTATGGAAAGGTGAATAAATTTAGAAGTTTGTTTTGATAGAAATATTCTATTTTTCGTTTAAATTGGTTCAGAAAAGAGACGTAAAGCACGGGTTGTGCTTAGTAGGACGGAATTAGATCAAAAACCCTAATTGAGATTTAGATGTGACGCCTCTCTCGCAAAATACCGGATTACCAAACATACAGTTATTCACAAACAAAGTTAGTCCGATGACTGGCTCTCTCGGTACAGCGCGGCACACTTGAGGCACACTGAGAAAAATGTTGGCGCAAAATAAGTGCGTAGAGTGACCACCCCTTGCAAAATGCTTTATGAAAGGAACAATGCGGCAGCGTTACCAGATTGTTCTCAAGCTTATTAATGTACCTATTATCATTATTCATTTGACTTTTTCGTCGGCTTAATGAATGTGACTTAAATGGCGTAAAAACCCCATATTTTTTCACAATATAAAGCAAACATAACAAAATAGCACATCCGTGAACATAACATAAAGTAAATATGGCAATGAATATCAACTGTAGTCAAAGCATCAAAACTTATCATTCGATCAGCTCGATCGGACATCCACCAGCAATCCTCGTCGTGGTGAAACGAAAAAAAACAAAAGAAAATAAATACAGATAGCATAATCCTTACTATTTAAGAGCAATGGAATATTTATCACCTACCACAATAACGAATGTCGCTCGATCCATCAATGCAATTCAGTATTTCTTCTTCTTCTTCTTCTTCGCATTTTAAGCTTATTGCTTATCGCATATTAGCTTATTGCTTGCTACGATCAGACTAGTCAGTTTGTCTGCCACCGACTTGGCAATATTTGACTGTTGAACATGATGGTGATGGTAGTGTGATCACGTTGCCAGACAAATTTTATCTGGCAACGTGATCACACTACCGTCACGGTGAGAAAAAAGTACCCAATGACCAGTTCACTTTCATCTACTT